AATGTCGCATTTCTTGCCCATATCGATGATGGGGATAAAAATATTTGAGCGTTTTCAACCTTTTGTTAACATTGTCTTCGGAGATCAGTTCACCGATAACGAAACACCTGCTCAGTTTTCAGCTATTTTTAAACTAAACCGGGTAACTTAATGGATCCGATATCCGATAGCAGAAACCTTGCTAAAGGTTTTTTCACCATTCTTTGCAAAATCCCAACTTCCAACTCTAAGCATCTTGAAACTTGGAATTTACCCACTCTGTAAAAAATATTTCAGGCTCCAAACGAGGAAAAATAACGGGAAAAGTACCGGGCCAAATAGGAACATTTTCACTCAACTGCACGCGTTCCGGTGGAATCGTCTAATTTCGCATCCTGAGCCGATAGAGTCTTCGAATTCGGACCCACTATAGAAGAGATTTGGGGCTCAACATCGTGAATTTTTCACTGGAATCGCAAATCAAGCTGATGTTGGCCAATTTTGTAAATACCAGGTGAAAAACTGAGAGTTCAGTTCAACAGTACGCTATTCTTTGAACAATCGTCACGTCCAGCCCAGAGCTACTAAGAACTCGATTTTCGCTCTGTGTAGAAAATACTTCGGGCTAGAAATTGGAAAATTTGCATTTACATCGCAATAAATACTCATTTTTGACAGCCTTGTAGGAAGTGGGCCAAAAATGAACGTTTTCGCTCACCTGCGCGATTTCCTTTCAAATTTTCTAACTTCAAATCCAGGGCCGATGGCAACTGCAAATTTCACACATCCGATAGAAGATATTTGGGGCTAAACACCGTGATTTTTTTTAGGAAACCGCACAAGAAGCCAATTTTTGGCAACACTGTGAAAAGTTGCCATTTTTCGAAATTTTTCGGGAATTTCTAACTTCCAATCCGGAGCAGCCACAAACTCAGGACTTCTACGCGCGATAAAACATACTCCAAGCTACAAGTGCGGAAGTTGCCATTAAAATCGCAATGCCAAGGCGGTTTTTACAGCCTTGTAAATAATGGGCCAAAACTGAAGATTTTCGCTCAACTGCCCGCGTTCCTTTCAAAACTCCTAACTTCCAATCCAGAACAGGTAGGACCTTCAATCTTTTACACCTGTTAGAGGATATCTGGTACTCCATATACGGAAGTTATTCCTTAAGTCGCATGCGATGCTGATTTTTCCACTCCCGTAAGTGTTGAGTTAAAAGTCAAAACTTTCCGCAAATACACATTTTGCTTTGGAATTTTCTAACTTTTTTCCTAGAACGGGTAGGCCTTGGAAATTTGGACACCCTATAGAAGAGACATATTACTGAAAAGTGTTTGACTATCGCTGAAAGCGGATAAAATCCCGACTTTTTGCAATGCTTTGTCTAAAATGAACATTTTTATTCATTTGCACACTTTTTTAAGGTCCCACCTTCAAACACACCCTAGCTGGCAAGCTCAAATTCCCACATCTTATAGGAACCACCTGAAGCTCAAAACGCTGAAATTTTCCCGCAAATCACGTAAATTGCTGATTTTTGCCAGCTGGTGGCGCCGAAAATTAGCTTCGCCACTCAAGACACCATCTCATTTAAAAAATTGCAACTTCAAATTCAGCTCAGGTATCAACTGGAAAATCGACCATTCTACAGAAGTCTTCTCAAGCTAGAAGTTTGGAAAGTTTCACCTAAATCCCAAATAATGCTGATTTTTGGTACCCCTGTAAACGGTGAGAGAAGAAATGGAATAAATTTTGAAAAATTATAACTTTCAATCAAAAGCAGCCAACTGCTGGAAATTCACTTCACTTCAAGCTGAAATCCGTGAAGGTTTTACTTAAACCGCACTAAATCCTGATTTTTTCCACTTTTGTCACCATGAACATTTACAGTCAATTTCATACTAATTGGAGCTCAAACTGTATAAAAATTGAACCAGCGAAACAATAAGGAATAGCATTTACGAAGGTTTAAAGAATATGGCATACAATACTTTGTCAACGTTTTATTCGGCAGCAAAATTTAAGCTTTAAATAAAACGGTCTAAACAAGCTGCAGCATTCCCTGAATGAATCGAAGTGACACAATAACATGCGTTCTCTTAGTCTGCCTGTCTTCAAAAGCGTCAAAGTTAAGTTGTTAAAGTTGAACGCAAATTTTATTGATAAATGCGAGACGGCATCCTTAAATTTCCTGTTGAACGGTCTTGAATGGGGAGATTCTATTATGGACGGCCACCGCGATTAACAAAAGCAAAAGAAGCCGAACCTAATGGTTTACCGACAGTTTTATACCATACGGTTCATAAATTGGGCAAAGTTGGACCAATTTTTTTAAATAAATCACCCGCAAATAAACAGGGTTTTGCGGTCCAGTGAGGAACAGATTTCTCTCATATTATCCCATTTTTTAAATGTTCGTAGAAGTGAGCATTCAATAACTTCAATTCATCAGCTCTAATTCCCACTGATATTGATATTCGACAATATTATTCCCCAACAATAAAAAACCGATATGAATGCCCGCAGGTACAAAGCTGTTCAACGAGAAATAAAATTTTTACGTGTTCTATTCGTATGTGCCGAAATGAATCCGAATCAAATAAAATTAAATTTGCTTAAAAAGTTGCAAAAAAGTCGGCTCTATTTTCCATAGGGAATAATATGATGACTGTCTACTGTTGGATATTTGTTAAATGGCTCTATTCGGCCAGTATTGAAAAATTTGAATTTATTCATGGCACAATCAATTTTAAATTACACTGTCTCATGGATATCGAATAATTGTATTGGATTTTTATTTAGTTTTCAGTAACTTGGACAGTGGGGGATTTAAAATAACGAATTAATCAAAGCCATTCAGCTAGTTTTTTTTTGCAAATGTACAAGCTTTATTTATATACTTTGTTTCAGTTCAAGTTCAGTGCAAATTTTGATATGTTATCAATGTCTTTTGCTGAAAAAGATCCTTGAAATGAGCAAAATCTTGTTACAGTGCCGGTTCTATTTCAGCATCTCATTTCATTCTCGTTGGCATTCCGGTTTTCCTCTCTCATCATACCATCAGATTCCCAGTTCGGAGCCTAATTACAGGTGTTTTGCCTTCTCAGATGCTTATACCACTCTTGGGCAGCCGGTTTATTGAACGGATATCTAAGCCTGTGGTTAAAAGTTGATAAAATCGCCTTAATAGTTTGATGTTTCAATTCAGACGTCTCGATTCGTGGAAGCGTCGAGCGGAGCGATAACGTTAATTGTTTTATCTGGAAACTGGGGGCTTGGACTTAAAAAATATTACTTGTTAAATTAGTCAGTCTTTAAATTACGGAGCCGTTGATTAGATTCGATAGCTGCATTTATAAAACGTGCCACCTGTTTTTGGAATGTTTAATTGGGTGGCTGGCCACATGAATCTTCTTTTGAACGAGCTGGAGAGGAAGCGCTTCATTTCCTCACCAGCTGAAGATAACAAGGATTTTCGAATTTCCCTGTGGGTGGACGTTAATGATTTTTTTCAGATTTATGCTGTGGAAAGGTTCTTTGAATAGATATAACAGGGTTTTATGTTCAGGTTCGTTTTGGTCTTCGGTTCTTATCCAAGTAAAACTTCCGTGGGTGTTAGGTATCAATCGAAAGAGAACATCTGTGGCTTTAAATGA